ATATATTATATTGATATATATGGTGTACTTTGATAACGAGAATATAAACACATATTTTCAGTTGGTCATACTTTTTCTTTTAGGTTTGTAAATATTCCAGATGAGTTAATTCAGTTTGGATGCCTTCAGTGTGAATCTACAATGTTCATAGTCATGAAAAAAGACAAATCAAATTTTGGTTGTAATGTACATACATATATCCTTGATGGACTTACATTTCAACATGTCTTTTGTCCTATTGGATTTACAACCAGAACCACACTTGTGAACCTAATGCAAGATACATGTTAAGTATTCAGACCTCTGACAGACAAAAACTTTGAAAATGATAAGTATGAGTATTGTATGCGTTTTAGTAGATGTCTTAAATAGGAGTAAAAGAGTAGAATTTTGATTTCCGCGTAAGAGTTAAAATAGTTCCATAACAATGTTTATCCTTCGGATAGAGCAGCTAGAATAATTAGAATCAGAATTAATGTTAGCAGCCATTAAAAGTGACAGAGTGTCACAAACTAGAAAGAATGCCTTGGCTCCAACTGCAGCCGTGCTTTGGAGTTAAAAAATAGAGTAAAAATAGTCAGAAATAGATAATTGCTTCAACCATAGATGCTTCCAAAAATAGCGAAGATTTCCAAGCCAGTGCTAATATCAAATGGTAAAGGGGACCATTCCACATACCGTTGCTTCAATAGTAGATTAAGTTACTCTACAGTTTATGTACAGTTTTTTATTAGATACCTTGCCAATTCAACTTGTGTTCAAACATGGAGTGAAGGTTGACAATGCAAAAAGTTCATGAGTGTAAGCCTAGATTAATGCCTGATTAATGAGATAAGATTAACAACCAACAGACAGATTCAAAAGCATTTTGATGTAGTTCCACAATCCTCCATCCCCCCGTCACGTCCCCCCGTCCCAGAGAGGCGAGAGCTGGAAGGATGTTGGGGCGGATACTTCCATCTCCCTGGCCGAGGTCACCAAGGTGGTTGGCAGCCTCCATGGTGGCAAGGCGCCGGGAGTGGATGAGATCCGTCCTGACTATCTAAAGTCTCTGGATGTTGTAGGACTGTCTTGGCTGACACGTCTCTGCAACATCGCGTGGCGATCGGGGGCGGTGCCAATGGAGTGGCAGACCGGGGTGGTGGTCCCTCTCTACAAGAAGGGGGACCGGAGGGTGTGTTCCAATTATCGTGGGATCACACTCCTCAGCCTCCCCGGTAAGGTCTACTCCAAGGTACTGGAGAGGAGGCTACGTCCGATGGTCGAATCTCGGATTCAGGAGGAGCAGTGTGGTTTTCGTCCCGGTCGCGGAACACTGGACCAGCTCTATACTCTCCATCGGATACTCGAGGGTTCATGGGAGTTCGCCCAACCTGTCCACATGTGCTTTGTGGATTTGGAGAAGGCGTTCGACCGCGTTCCCCGGGGTGTCCTTTGGGGGGTCCTCCGGGAGTACGGGGTCCGGGGTCCTCTGCTGAGGGCTGTTCGGTCCCTGTATGACCGGAGCCAGAGCTGTGTTCGCATTGCCGGCAGTAAGTCAGACCTGTTCCCGGTGCATGTTGGCCTCCGCCAAGGCTGCCCTTTGTCACCGGTTCTGTTCACTGTATTTATGGACAGAATCTCTAGGCGCAGCCAGGGGCCGGAGGGGGTCCGGTTCGGGAACCACAGGATTTCATCTCTACTTTTTGCGGATGATGTCGTCCTGCTGGCTCCAACGAACCAGGACCTGCAACATGCACTGGGACGGTTTGCAGCCGAGTGTGAAGCGGCTGGGATGAGAATCAGCACCTCCAAATCCGAGGCCATGGTGCTCGACCGGAAAAAGGTGCCTTGCCCTCTCCAGGTGGGTGGAGAGGTCCTTCCTCAAGTGGAGGAGTTCAAGTATCTCGGGGTCTTGTTCACGAGTGAGGGGAGGATGGAGCGTGAGATTGACAGGCGGATCGGTGCAGCGTGCGCAGTGATGCGGTCTCTGTATCGGACCGTTGTGGTAAAGAGGGAGCTGAGCCGAAAGGCAAAGCTCTCGATTTACCGGTCAATCTTCGTTCCCTCCCTCACCTATGGTCATGAGCTGTGGGTAATGACCGAAAGAACGAGATCGCGGATACAAGCGGTCGAAATGAGCTTCCTCCGCAGAGTGGCTGGGCGCTCCCTTAGAGATAGGGTGAGGAGCTCGGTCACACGGGAGGAGCTCGGAGTAGAGCCGCTGCTTCTCCACGTCGAGAGGAACCAGTTGAGGTGGCTCGGGCATCTGTTCAGGATGCCTCCTGGACGCCTCCCTGGGGAGGTGTTCCGGGCACGTCCCACCGGGAGGAGGCCCCGGGGAAGACCCAGGACACGCTGGAGAGACTATGTCTCTCAGCTGGCCTGGGAACGCCTAGGGGTCCCCCCGGACGAGCTGGAGGAGGTGTGTGTGGATAGGGAAGTCTGGGCGTCTCTGCTTAGACTGCTGCCCCCGCGACCCGGCAACGGATAAAGCGGAAGAAAATGGATGGATGGATGGATGTATTTGTAGGTATAGCACAAAAACAGTATAGTATGATATTTAATTTGAGAAGTTTCCCAGCCCAGATTAGATAAATCAAACACCTAGTGTAGAATTACTGACCCCTACCCTACCAAACCGAATTAGCTACATATGAGGATAATAATAATTTGATTAAAGGATGTACAATCCATCCCAAACATGCCTGAGAGGCAGGAAGTGGACAGCACGTCCTGGTTTCAACAAATGTTTTTTGGAAAACTCACTGAACCATAATAATGTTCATAAAGTAAACCAATTTGTCTTACTGTGTTCAACAGTTTTATTCCCTGTGAATGTAGATGAGACATAGGAATAGAGCAAAATCCCACTGACACAAAGCCACGGATAATGAGAGTATAATACCACAGAGAGATTTATTAGATTAAATGTATGTTTAAGAATATGGCTCAATAGAAGCAAATATGCAAACATATTGTAACATAGAGTAGAATAGTTTTTAAACTATAGTGAAGTATAAAGTAAAGTACACAGTCTAAGATTGAAAAGTGAAAATAATACAGTGAAATAAGTGGAGTGTAAACAATCATCATTAGAATAAAAGTATAGAGTAATAAAAGTGCAATATGGCCTACGTGCAGGACTGTACAAGGACTCTACAAGGACTCCATGTTAGTTTGACTATGATTTGACTGTCTCTTTGTGACACGTATGTCTTTCGATGTGTGACGTGACAATGACTATATAAACTGTGTACTGCCTTTATTCTGTCTGAGAGAAAGAAACAAAGTAAACCAGTGGAACTTGAGAGAAACTTAAATAAACTTCCAGAGTTTGGCACACCACGATCCGTCTCTGTCTGCTAAATCCTGACAGATTTGGTGGAGAATGCGCGGCTCGGTGTGTGCCATTCTCTGGATTGTTTTGAGGGAGTTTCCTTTGTTTCTTTTTTCGGCGTGTGGGAGCAACAGCACGTTATCTGGAAGGGGAGAAATCCCAGCGGACGCTGAAAGGGCTCGCTTTTGGATGGGCTTGCTCTTGCTCCCTCACTTTCTCTGTTTTGTGTTTAAATTGAATTTTCGACGCGGAAAAGATGTTGGTCGACCTCTCGAACAGTCCGGACAAAGAAAATTAATGTAAGCAGACACCTTTTTTAATATGTAAAGTCTGCATAATTGGATACTACTAAATTTGAGCTGTCCCGGAGGGCTGTCCAAATCTCTCTAAATCAAATTTTCTTTGTTGTGTCTTTGTCACGTCTTTGTCATGTCTTATGTTGTAGAAAACAGGTTAGCTGTGTGGGTAACCAGTCCCTATAGGAAAAAAGAACCCCTTGACGTATCGGGTCCCTGTCCTTGAAGTATCAGGGCAGAGAAAGAGTAATTACAGGGTAGAAGGCCCTTTTTTGAGTAATTACCGGGTAGAGGCCCCTTGAGAAGAGAAAAAAGATAATTACAGGTAGAGGCCCTTTTTTGAGTAATTACCTCGGGGTAGAGGCCCCTTGCTAGCCAAGAAAAGTGTTGGATCCAAAAGTGAACCCATGGTGTAAAATTAAAGTAATTATAAAAAGGGAACCGTGTTAAGGAGGCCTTTTGTCACGAAAAAGTTTTGTAATTAACCAATTCCAAGCTTGATAAATGACAAAAGGAAAGAAGCACAACATAACAGAAAAAGGGAGTTTTTTGTATTTTTTAGTTCGTCTTGTTTTGGAGAGAACAGATTCTCTCGGAGAATGCAGAGTTTATCTAAAGTTGAGCTATGAGAGCTTTCGTGAGTGATTTTACATTTTGTGCCGAGTTTTATCTACAGTTGAGCTATGAGAGGGCTGTTTCCTACCAGTTGTTTTTGTTTATTTTAGAAAGAGATTTTTGAGGTTTAAACTAGTTTGCTACCTCGATAAAAATAGAGCGTCTAAACCGTTAAAGACAAGGAAGAGTGCCTTTTGTTTACAAGTGTGGAAAGTGACACATTCTAGACTTGGATGACAAAATGTCAAACTACAATCAGCATTAGAGTTTGCTTAAAAAAATTAATCTTGAGAGTTTATTCCGTGAAATTTGGCGAAATTTGCCAGTGAACATTGTGTTATGACAACAGTTAAAACGCTTTTAAACACCATTAGGGAATAGAATGTTTAGAATTAGTATGGTTTTGGAAACCCTAATATTAGTGCTAAAAAAGCCTGTTGCTAATGTCTTTTTAGACACTAACCTATTTCTAGATTCCATTCATTTTAAATCTAGCTGCTTAGTTTGTGAGGCCATTATTGAATCTCGGATATATTTTCATAGCTGTTAGTGGAGAATTGTGTTATGTTTTATTAATTTTAGTTTACAAAAGCCGGTTTTTTCAAACATGTTAAATTAGAATCTGTGTTAAAAGTGATTATTGATTATAGACTTCGGCTAAAAAAGAAAGGGGGAAATTAGGCTGTAAAAGTATATATTATTAAGATTAAATACCCAAAGTTCGACCCAATTCACATTCAAGTGTGACCTTTTGGGTTTTTGGTTTGACTATGCGACCGGTCATGATTGGGGTGGGGGGTGGGGGGGGGTGCTGGGCAGGGGGGGGGGGGGGATGTGGGGGGGTTGTCGGTGGCTCAGGGGTCCCACGAGGGAGTGGCGGCTGGGTGGTGGCGTGGAGAGTGGGGGGTGGAGTATGTGCGAGGGGGGTGGTGGGGGGGGGGGGGGGGGGCCGGGGGGAATGCCATTGTATGTCTGGGTTTGGCGGGGATTGGTGTTGGGTTGAAGGAGGGGAGGGGATGGGGGGGGGGGGGGGGGGGGGGGGTGGGACGAAGTAGTTTTTAATTGTGGGTTGTATGGGGAGGGGTGGGGGGTTGATTGGTAGGAAGGTGGGGGGGGGGTAGGGGGGGGGGGGGAAGGATGGGGGGTTTTGGTTATGGGGTGTCCACGGATCCATGTGATGGTGGTTGGTAGGTAGAATGTGGGGGGGGGGGGGGGAGGGGGGGGGTGCCTGTTTTTATAGGTGTAAATTAGGGAAGGACCTGGGTTATATGGAGCCCTCTGACGCTCCGCTAGCGGACACACTGGACGCTACCGCACCCAAGACGAACATTCAAAAGGGGACATTACTCAATGATATTAACGTTTCGGACCTTACTCGTGTGTTTAATGTCTGTGATGTAAATACACGGTGTGTGTGTGTACATGTGTTGTGATCATTCGCATCAATCCTGTGTGTCTCCTTTGCAAAATTGTCCGGTGTGAAGGGTTGCGTCCACAGAGAGGGAAGACATGGACACGCCCCTTCAGAAGTCAATATAAGCACCCGCAAACCTAGAGACTTCCTCTTGTTTCTCCCGAATTCATTATAACAACTATCCCGTTTGGTACGTGTCCCCTACACGGCCTACGCCCGCCACCATCTCGGGCCTGTACACCCACGAGGACAGCAACCACTCTCGCTGTCGGAGACGAGGACCTTCTATCGCCACTTTCGGGCTCCTTGGACCACCCCACCACAACGCTATTCTAGACCGTGTCGTGTGTGGAAACCCACGCCTGGACCCGACCTGCCGGCTTCCTCCTGCTCCCTGTTCGAACAAAGACCACGTGGACGAGACATCGCCTCCATCCTATTCTTCACTCTCATCCTTTCTTCATTCCTCCATCCTCATCTTAACCACCCATCTCCCTCTGAACGGCTTCAAAGTAAGACTTCTCCATGTTAAATGTTCAATTTGAATGAAATGTATACAGCTCCTACCAAATGTGACCAGAAATCCCTTTTCGTTATATTTTTACCCTCATTTTTGTAATCAATAAACTACTTTTCTTTAACTCAACCCCTTCAGAGTCGCCTTGTTAGATCTCGGAATATCACTGGCCGATAAAAGTACTCACTACCTATTAGATTCATAAGACTGATCGAGGCAAAGATTTGGGTGTGTCTGTGCGCAGATTTCTAACTCTGCTGGTGCCCAAAATAAATAACACAGACCTGTTGGTGGAACGGCGAGCTTCCGCTCCGGAGACTAGCCGCTCCACGCTACCAAATTCATACTAAATTTATAACATAATCTGTAGTATTATTACCCTACATATAACTAGTTACCCTACAAGTGAAACCCAAGATGTTCAAGATTAAAAACATCACACAGTACAAAAGTACATAATACATATTTTAAAGTTTGAAGGTTTAAGAGATTTGAGTCTTGTTTTTTATATTGAGAGTTTCTGGTTTTAAAATGTCATCATTAGTAAGAGAATAAGTAATCTTTATTTACATAGCGCTTGGGAAAACCCAGAGCGCTCCAAAATTGTTTTGACTTTAGGGAGAAAAAACAATCTCATTCGCATACTGATATCTATTGTTTTTTTTAAATTGGCCGTCTCAAGGATTGTTTTTCAGACTCTGCCTCACTGTACGAGAGGTCACTGCTGGACACTGGACAGCGCAACGCCCACCCAGCCACAGGTCACAGATCAAAGAGCAAAGGGAAATGCCACCTCCTTGCCCCTCCCCCCACTACAGAAGTAAGTGGGAGTGAGACCCGGGGCCATGAGAGAGAGGTATCTGGAGACGTGATGGTGGAGCGTCAGGGAGAGACCTGAATGGGAGTTGAAAGTGTGTCCAGTTGGTTTACATCACCACAGTGTGACCTTTGACACCTACGGGTGGTTCGAGGAGTCTGGAGAAACAACCCCAAAATTCACATACACACACAACACACACATACATTCATACACTCACACATTCACATTTACATATAGATACATGAAAAAAAGCAGAACATGAGAAAAAAGCATTTTAAAAGTTTTACTCCAATGTAAACACATATTTTTAATTGTCTATCACTTGAATCTTTAGTTGAATCAGTATTTTTTGGGACCAGAAATGTTCATTTGAATTCTATATTGTCATGGACTAATTGACGTCTGTCCTGACACTTTTGATTTGTTGATTTTGTACTGTGGTGAAGTAATTACATTGATTAGGATTAGATCTGATAAAAACACAAATTAGAGAAGTAAACTGCGCTTGCTTTTTGTCTGAGGGACATTAGCAACAGCATGAATAGAAATTGTGGTTAAAGTAGAATCAAAGTGATTTAACCATAGAGAGTAACTACTGCATTACAAGCTGTGTACAGGAACTGTGACACTGCACCATTGACCAGAAGTGCATCGCAAATGACCTGATGTGCTTCAAGTGGAAAAGACTGTATCTGGAGATTCTGATGTGCATCTGGAGAAACCAAACCATGGCTTGGACCCTACTGATGTCCAAGATGACATCTCTCGAAATATGACCTGACCTGATGACGACTGAGACTCACCCTCAGGCAGGGCCGGAGTGGGACAACATTTCAGGCCGGGAGCTTTCCCCCCCCCCCCCCCCCCCCCCCCCCCCCCACCCCCTGTCATTTACTCTTTACTCCAATAAACTGAGTAAACTGAATTGATTTAAATTCCCAAATGAAAGTATCTCATCTACACTCATAAGTAATCACTGTAGCATTCCCTTAAGCTTTTATGGGTCTTTGATTTATGTAAAGGGTAGTGGTTTAATGAAACTAGTTGCACAAGGTCAAAGTTCACAAATATTTTAATATACTGAACATGAGAACAATCATTTACATCATAACAAAGCTTTAAGTTATTCATTCTCATTCATTCATTTCAGTCATGTAAACACGCAAATGTTTCCCTTTATTTCTGAAAACGTTTTTGGGATCCATGCAAGCAAATTCTTAGCAGAGCAGTGCACGGGTAGCATAGCAATAATGAAGACTTGCATTTGAAGATAAATAAAATGAATAAGTACTTGTAGGCTAGACCAATGAGATGGTAGGCATCTGTTAACAGATTATAACGCCTGAGGATTGTATAGCAGCATATATGGTAGGCAATTCTTACATGAAGAACACACTGTGTTCTCCATTTCAATATCCTCTTGGTCTAAATCAGTGTGCTCCCCATCCTGAGGAAGCTCAATAGCCCGTCTAACTCTGTGGCCCTCCAGAGGAGGCAACTTTAGTGTCTCCCAATGATTGGCAAGGCTAATCAGTTCCGCCTGCAAGTTCTCCATTGTAGCTCGGTCATCAAATTTCAGTAGGCATCTACTCAGCTCCTCCAGTGCAGTTTCCTGCAGCCCTTTATCCCTTATTTCTGAAAAGTTTTTGGGATCCATGCAAGCAAAGTCTGAGCAAAGCAGTGCACTGGCAGCAAAGCGATGGTGAAGGCTTTCAGTGACTGTATCAAGGATGACATTATGGACCTTGATTTTGTACTCGGCCTCTGCATGGGACGGGATTTCGTCCTGCGCTAGCTCACCTGGCATCACTTTTTTTTTCCGTACTCGTTTTTCTGGAAGGGCAGTTTCAACTTCAATGTCTTCCTCATCCTGAAGAACAGTATTTGCCCACTCCACAAATACACCTGCTGCTTTCTGGACACCTGCAAAGTCCCTTGAACAATGTTGCAAGCTATTCTGAACTCCTGTGACTAGGCGCTGGGCAGTTAAAATGTCCATGCCACTGGTCTGGAGGTATTTTGAGAGAGGGGTTGTTTCCTGAAACACTCTGAGAAAGACCTGTGCCGTCAGGACAGTTTCATATCTCAGAAGACCCTCTAGATATCCTCTGGCTTTTACCCTTGCAATAGACTTGATTGTCTCATCTTTCTCGATCTTACTCAAAGTAATGACAAGGTCAGTGAAAAGTGCATCATCCGGTTTTCCAAATGTGCCAAAGACCTTTCTCAAGGCTTGGTCCTTGGCCAGCCATCGAGTTTCTCCAATTGGAGCAAGCCGTCTATGTCTCCGGTCAACACTGACTTCTTCCCACTGAAGCATGCGTTTATAAGACTCGCGTATGAACACTGCTACATCATTGAGAACAGAGAACAGTGATGCACCTGTAGTAACTACACTAGTAGTGTCTGTTAGCACCAGATTCAACACATGAGCATAACACCATACATGGACCTGTCCTGGGGAAACTCCATTTAGCAGTGTTGTGAAGCCCTTGTACTTCCCTTGCATGTTAGCAGCTCCATCAGTTGAGTTGCCAACACAATGCGCTAAGTCAAGCCTGACTGTCTCCAAGGTTTTTGTCACCAAGTCAACAAAATACTCTCCAGTTGATGCATCACAATCAACGACGGTAATCAGTCTCTCATGGACATGATCAGTGACATACCTCAAGACAACTGCACACTGATCTTTTGAAGTCAGATCTTGGGTTGTATCCAACTGTATTGAAAACATCCCTGCATTTCTAACCTCGCTAGAGATAGTGCGCTGTATTAAGAGTCGAATGATGTCAATTACTTTATTGACAGTGTGCTTTGAGAGCAGAGTTACAAGAGACCCCCTTCCTCTCCCTTCACTATTGTGCAACGTTTTGCTCTTATTTATACAGTCGCTAATGTGCTCTTGCAAACAAACATCATATTTGCTGAGGAGTAAGACAATTTCCAAGAAATTGCCATGGTCACTAGCCAGGTCCTCCAAGCTATACGCAGCTTCATGTGTGTCCCCTCTGTAACTAAGGCCACGTTTTCCTAGGACCTTTATGATGTTAACTCTCTCTCCATTACTTGTCTTTTTTTTCTAACTTGCTCTCTGTGGACCGACATTTGTTTCTCTGCCAGTAAGTTTTGAATATCGGCTCTCCTTGCCCTCAGGAAATATGCCTCTGCACTGTCTCTATGGGATCTGCTTTTTCCATGCTCCTCAATACGTTGGTGGACATGCTTCCACGCCCTCATACCCCCTTTAACAAACGAAGAGTCACTGACAGAAGGCTTAGAAAACTAACCTGGCAAGAGCCAGATT